ATGTATTGAATACACTCACAAGCGTATTCGTAAGCGTCCAGCCACAAATGCGGTGATGACAGCTGCAACACGCTGCACACAGCAATGCCGTGCCTTGTTTCAGAAGGACGATTACTTTTTGTCGATTGTCGTCAAATATCGTAGATAAAAAGCTTGATCATTCGTTTGGTCATTTGATATTGACATTATGTCCTTGTGTACAGGTGCGAATTGTGACCTGACACGCTCTCAGAGGTTCGATGCGTTCACTCACGACAGAGCTCTACGGCAACAGGTACAGCACACGAATATCCCGTCCTTGTGAGAGGGAATGCAGATGTGCAGAGTATAGAAAATGGAAGGCGGCGAATTTGCAGCATTCTGGGACCCGCTTCCCACCAGTAGAAAACAGCCTGTTTGCGATGCCAGTTGCGACGCCATTTGACACAAATTGATGCCATCACAGCCACTTTTATGCCATCGCAATCACTGTGATGGCATCATTTTGTGTCAAATAGCATCGCAGTTGGCATCGCAGACATGCCGTTTTCTACCAGTGTCCGCCAGAAAATGTGACCCAGATTGTACCAATGGCCGCGAGTTTTGCCGCCTGAACGTGCAACGGGCGCGCGATGCCCCTCACTCTGGGTTTGGCGATTTGAAACCACTGGGATATGGTTGCGGCGTGAAATGAAGGGCAACTTCGCGGCTAGCAGTCGATGTTAAATGTTCGTTTCCATCTTCTCGTACTACTCTCGTAGTATTAGAAATGCATTTGAGTAGCATTGAGATTCAATCCGAAATGACGTGAATAGTGACATCGAGCAATGTTTCTTCCGTCATATTGGGCCGGATTGTCCATCCGATGTAAAAGGTGGCTGAAGGTCAACGTTTGCTGCTCGCCCTTCGCAATCAGTAATAGAGCTAGTCAGTACTGCTATGTTCTGTACTTGCATCCGCCGATCAGCAAGTTGCGGGCAAAACCCGAACAGCGCGTCCACACTATGGCAAACATTTGACTTGTCAAAATGTCGAAGCTGCACAGCGATATTTGGCAAATGGTTCCGTCCATGCCCATTTCCATGTATGGTAGATATTGTCCATGATGCAATATTTACTCATACTTCGAGGTATGTAATAGAGTAAGTGCCTAATAGCGTGTATCTCAAAAAGCCATACCAAAATATCTACGTGGCTGGGTATCTTGTCGTCCATATTTGTGGGCCACTTAGCTGAAAACGGACAAAATAGCACTTTTTGCGAGCACACATATATGCATTTCATCATTATTTTGCATGCTGAAAACACGGAAAAAAATCCAAACCCGTGAATTTCGCACACGTCTTATTTGGCCCTTTTCCCTAGTGCTTCGCCCAATGCACGTACTTCTTGTGCCAGTTTTGCAAAACTTGAGACGGGGTGGACACTGTCGCTGATTGGCCTCTGGTGTGTGTCGTGTGTGTCCTGTACAACCGTCGCAGGGGCTTCAAGACCAGGTGAGAAATGGACACGCAAAATTGCAGACCTTGTGTACCATATTCAGTGACGGCCAGGTGGACTGGTTATGACACTGGAGAAGCGGTCTTAAAAGATGTCGCTGCTGTTGGTGGTTCTTAAGTGCACAAGGAAAAAAGGAAAAAGGGAAATGCCGCAGAGTCGATGCACATTTTGCGCATGTTGCGCCGCCAGGCCGGTCGCTTTGCGAGGCACCCAGTCGTCGGGCATTTGATAATAAGCAAAGCGAAGTGTCAAACAGCCAAGTTTTTGATGGCCGCGTGAAGGTTTACAATAGGCGGCTGGTAAAAAGGGTCACCAATTTAAGAGTCATGTCAACGCGATTCGCAAAGCTCGTTCGGTGCAAATCAGGATCTGTACGACTTGGTGGGCATGCCCATGGACAACAACACGGAGAGGAAGGTGCAGGCCCTGGTGAATCGTGGGGCGAATCCCAACGCCTGCTGCGACATCTTCGGCTACTCGGTGCTGCACGAAGCAGCACGCCACGACGCCGACGTTGCCGTCCTAGTGCTGCTGCGCGCGGGGGCGTTTGTGGACGTGCAGGCCATCAACGGCGACACCCCGCTACATGTGGCAGCGGCGGAAGGCGCGGAAAAGGTGGGTTGCTATCCAAAACACCAGGACGAAAAGGACCAAATGACACTTTTTTTTGCGAACACACATAAAACATATTTCATCAAAGTTTCGCACCCTAAGAACGCAAAAATAACGCAAACTCGTGAACTTTGTACACGTTTGAACACGTGCTATTTGGCCCTATTTTTCCTAGTGATATGTCATTGGTCGTGTCTGCAATGCGAATGATTATGCCCACTTCGCCCCTGTCTTCGTGTTTCAACCGATGGCTGTGCGGAGCGCGGTGGCGCCTGAAGAGCTTGCCCTTGCGTGATTCTCGCCAATTGTGCAGGACTGTTTTGCCTCGGATTTGTGTAAGATAAGATTGCAATTTTCATGAGTATCAGCGCGTCGACGCGCGCTGTGTAATGCTTAAGGACCTGCGTGGATTGCGCGATTGTGCTTTCTACAAATTCCGTTAGAAACGGGCGTTAGTATTTAATTGGCCATCGCGAACGGGGAACGAAGTTTTAGGAAACGTCGTTGAGCATGAAATTGCTGAATGTGTAAAATTACCTGAACATGTTGATTAAAGCTTGGTTCTAGAGCGCTGCTCTGGAAGTGCGCACGGGCGCCCAGATGCTATTACCAATCCTTTCGAATTTGCGGATGCGACTGCGTTTGCCGTTGCGCACTCAAGCGCACATGATATTAAGCCACTAGCAAAATAGCAGGCGAAAGTACACGGTTTGAAAATCGTGTACCGTGTAACACGATTGAAAACCATGTGACAAACTTGTTAAATCGTGTATTTATCCCATAAAATGGAACCAGACCGTATAGTAATGATTGAGTGCGTGTACGTGATTTTCACATGTTTTGACGCGGTTCTGCGGGGCTTATACACGGACCTAAACCTTGTCATTCTTTTGATTTTTACTTGTGCACGTCGTTTGCATCCCTACCCTGCAGGTGGCGAATGTGCTGCTTGAGGGCAAGGCCAAAGTTGACATCCGCAACAATTACGGAGAGACCCCCCTGCACTTGGCTACCCGGTTTGGGCACGCCGGCGTCACCAAGCTGCTTATAAGGTTCGGCGCCAACAGGACAGCCGAGGACAACGAAGGCGAAACGCCTCTGGACGTCGCGTGCAAGGAGGAGTGCCCTGAGGATGCCGAAGGGATTCCTGGATTTCTCTTATCGGTGGGCCAATGAATGAACAAGACGCTGCAATGCCACTTTCATATTTGATGCACGTGTGTTTTAGTACATGCAGAAGAGGCGTGTGCAAGCCGGAAGGGTATGAGTGTGCACAATGTGAGCAGTAGTGTTTCAGCAGTAACAATATTCGTAGCAGAATACATAAAAAATGAGAAATGTGAAAAATAGGGCCAGATCAGTGCCGCATGATAGTAAATTCATTTAAGTCGGTGGATACCTACCCGTTGTTGTTGTTGCTGCTGCCCTCTCTTCGCCGCAACCCACCCCTGGGGCGAGTATCCGTCCACCAACAACTGAGCAACCATGGTGTTGATTACTTCCGCCGACGCATCCGAACGGCACGAATTGCCGCCAACGATCCAATGCATGCCACACACTGCATCGAGCGCCGACTTCCTTTGAATTCCGAGCCACTGCTTGAGTTTCGAGTTGCGCAATCAGCTCCGGATGCGATTGATCAGCTGGATTGGATCCAACCCATTCTGGGAAAGCCTCAGACATACCTGCCGGGACGGGGTGTATGCAGGATCCCTACGCAGCTTGCGATCGGCATCCGTACGTGGCCTCGCTGCGGGACAACATCAATAAACACCAGTGCGCCGGTGTGCTGATACACCCCATGTGGGTGTTGACCGCGGCGCACTGTGTTGACCCGGGATCCGCTCTCAGCGCCACCCCGCGGGTCGTGCTCGGCGATTGCGACCTGGAAGATGACCCGAGCAACATCGAGGTGCGACACGGAGGGAGGAAATTGCGCGCAGTGATAATAGAAGATGGCGCTGAAGGCCAAAGATGTAAATTACAATTAGAGGTGCATATTGTGGTAAATTATATGGCTATTAACCATTGCGCTGTGCTAATGGTGCCTCTGCTGTACAGCACCCATCGCGGAAGCGCAAGTGCGACAACAGTGTACTGAATGCCCTGCTTTGTGCTTGACGCATTTGGAAGTATTGGTTTCTGAAATTTCTGCACAAACAAGGGAACAGAAAAGTGGCAAAGAAGGTTCCTGGGCTCTTTAGAGTGAACAAACGTCCTCTCGAACTCCCGATCCATGCAGATGGAATTACACCATGGATTACACTGAAATTGTAATTTTGACATTTTTTTATCGCAACAGAAGGCGGAATGTGACGGTAAAGCACTTTAGCTCTGGTGTGGTCGTTGATGAAAACACCAACAAACATTCATTACTGACTATTAATGGCCAGGTAAAATCTTCCCTGCCAACAATTCTGATGCTATCCGAGCGTTAAATCTGCTGCATGGTACAACACAAGGTGGGCCACCTATTACGCAATCTTCCGTCTTCGCAGCGACTGCGTCAGAAAATTAGCCCGAACGTGGTAAGGCACTGCTTTAGAAATGCAGGAAAGATAGTCATATTTGAGACATAATATGATCAGATAAAAATATCATAGTAACATCATGAAGCAAATGCAGTGCGCCTCCGTTAAATTCTCAACAGTAATAACAACATTGACGTGCCAGTTTTGCCGGCGGCGGATCTCGTAGGATTGTTGCGAGCGGGATCCAGTTCCCTCAAAAACTTCATTGCTCTGGTTTCCATACTTTTCCCATGAAAGTGGAAGCCTCAGAGCACAACCAAATCATTGATCTCAAGTGCGAACTGAATGGCGCCAGGCAACAGCGAATCATGCTCTCAAGCATAAACTCGCAGGCAGTGGGCGCCGAGTGCATGACTTTCCTTGCAACCGCGTGCGCAGATAATGGTTCCCAAATCCACCGTGATCTTCGACACTTGGAACGGCAACGTCACAGCCGGAAACGACATCGCGATGCTCCAGCTGTCCCAGGAGTCAACCCGCCCGCCCATCCCTCTTCCGCCGTCCGAGTCTCTCACCCCTGTCAGCTCCACTCCTCGCGACCAATTTTTTGTCGCGGTGGGCTACGGGGAGGTCGCGGGAGGGGGTCCAGTGGCCACACTGCGGCAAGACCTGAATACCGTGATTGTGGAAAATGAAGTCTGCGGCAATGGCCAGGGGTGGGGAAACGCGACCATCAAAGACACGATGGTGTGTGCCCTCGGTCTGGACAATGACCAGAGCAGCTGCCAAGGTGGGCGTGTGTCCAGGTTTTGCGTTCCGATGCAGGCAAGGGGAGCCATTGGCCATGTGGATTCGATGCCGATTCGTAAAGGTTGACAAATAAGGGGATGCACACTGTTGAAGAAAATGGCGCTCGCTTGTAGCTTAAGGCGGACAAAATTGTTGGAAGTTGCGCAAAACTGTGAACCGTGAGGCCTTCAGAATGAATTTCAGCGGTCTTGCTGAATGAAGGTAAGCCCTACGTCTCATTTTGTGATTGATACTTGAAGTAGGAGATGCTTGAATAGCGGCGGTCGTTCTGGGGTACTTCAGCTCTTCGGGAATGGTGCCATGCACAGAAACCCCAATCCAGCCCATCAGATGCACCCATAAAGCCTTCCATTTGTTGCGCATTGATGGTGAGATTTATCTTGAAGTTCAAGCTTCTGACTCAGCTGGAAACCTTAGTTCTCTCGTGCGTGGCCGAGTCATTTTCAGCAATTCCAACACTGTATCAAAGCAAAGAGCATTTTTCAGAAATGGTGAGCTACAATGACAGTTGGAGAGCTATAACAATATTGGCATTTTCCAAATCACATTGGAGAGCTACAATTGGATAGCTATAATAACATTGACATTTTCCTAGTGACATTGCTGCAGCAGCATGTTTTTCTTCGAGAGTTGCAAATCATCTGGCCCAATTTTCCCAACGCAGGAGGCGGTGGCGGAAACCCTTTGATGATTGCGTTCGCTCCCGAAGGCAACGTCTCCAAGGGCGTTCCCCAGGGGGATCTCTTGACTGGAATCGCGTCGTTCGGGGATGAACAGAGCCCCTGCGGGGCGACGAAGCTACCTGGGGTGTACACAAATGTTGCGAAGTATCTGGATTGGATCCGACGAGTGATTGACTCGGACGGCGCCGATACCAAGGTTAGGATGCACCTTCCTTTTCTGTCGGCCTTATTCAAGCAACACCCGCCTACCTTGCTCGATGCAGTTAATTGTTTCACCACGATTGCAGGCGTCATATTGCCTCTATCGCATTATTTGCTCCTTCGAAAATGCTGAAGTGTTGTGAATTGTATAGCATGTTCAAAAAGGCGATGATGCGGTTGACCATAGCAAGTCAATTAGCAAAATGTTGATTAGATACTACGGCTGCAAATTCCATGTGATTATCCGCAATTCGATAGTTATTTGCTGCAGCTTCTTGCTCAAAAGCCTTGTATGGAAGCGTGACACAGGTTTTGCAACTGTTCGCGAAGGCAGTTGATTCAGTTGTTCAGCATTACCAAACACGCAATTCTCTCGTACCAGAAAGATGTCTCAATTTAAAGGTGTAATTCATGAGCTGACCTGCAATATTGAGAAATGCAAACAACGTGATATGAAATAAATAGTGCGGAATGTGTTGTACATAATAGTCTGCCAACTGATGTCTGATTGGATGATTTACCGCACAGCTCATATGTTGCAGACATTACCCCACAAATTTGCAGCAGTATCTATAATGGTATATACAGAGGGCTACGTGTCGTCAAGCGCATTTATGTAGACACCAATGAAGGCGAAAGCCAATACATAATTTTCTGTGCTTTTCAAAAACGGTGGGTGTCTCAATTTCTGTTAAATTTTCCAAACTGGTGGCAAGCTCTCGCCTGGAATGTGTTGCACTGTTGCCCACATGATTGAGCTGCAATCCTGTACAACAGGTGGCTAGTCGATCACCACCCAGCAATAAAGGAAAGTTTGATAATCATATGATGGCTATCCAATCTAAAGGGGAACGGTGCAAAGAGAAATCGCAGCATTATCACATAGTAGTATCGTGAATTACTTGGAAATTTCTGCAATCATGCATGCATGTACGCCGCAGTAGCGCATTTTTCCCGATGGAGCCACCGCGGCTTTCCATTAATTGGGTAAACGTATGTCCCAGACGATCATTTTATGGAAGAACAAAGTTGTTGGGATGTGGCTGAGTTGCTGCGATACAAGGCGATGCTGTTTTGGACAGGGATGCGGTGGACTGAATCAATGATTTGGTTCCTTTTCTTGCAGTCTATAGGGAAGCAGGAACAGAAGCACCTCAATAAGGTAAGGGCTGCTTTCTCTCTCTTCTCATTTGGCATGAATGCTGCCGCCCATTTTGGACTCTCGATTTTCAAAAGCGTTTCCTCTTGATAACGCTAGTTGCGCAAAGACTTATTGGGTCTTTAATAAAATACTAAATTTAGTATTCTATTAAAATATTTCACATGGCTACAGATGTGGTCAGCGCCGATATCTCGGTCGCAAAGTAAGTCCAGAACATTTGTTCGATGAACTCACTTGCGCGGGACGCAGCTGGAGAATGGAGGAAACATCACATCAATATTGCCACTGATAGTATCAATATATTTGACATCTATCACCAATCGCCCAATAACATGCACACTCCATACAACTTAATGAAGATCGACTCTGCTGATGGTATCGTAGGGTTCTATCCGCATCACAAGAATCTCCAAAATGTGGCTCATATCCTACACATCGAAAGATGTGGGCAATGCGGCACTAGGGCATTTGAAGACCACGACAGCGCCAATTGCATTTAGTAGTTTGCCTCGTAGATTTAGGCGTTAATGATTTATGCGACACGCCGTAACGCCCTTTGGCTAGGTGCGCAGCCAATGCGGCCGACCTTTCAAAATTCGGTGCTCCCCTTTCTGCTACAGTTTGTGCTTTTCCGACTGTGCCTGTGAGCCGAGACCAACAGACGTCGTGCTTCACCATTCACGCATTGCGTCTCTTCAGGCGATTCGCGCGTGTCATCGTCTTGAAGTCACATGCTGTATCACTCAAGTGCATAGGGTGACCAGGACTTGCAGGGCAACTACATCTGTGGTGTTTGCTGGCCGCCAACTAGAGCGCGCCAGATAACGCTGGCTCACTGTTGTGGCACTAAGTTCCACATGGTGGATAGCAACAAGTCTGCCGCGTTGAAAGAGCATCTGGCCTTGCAAGCCACGTGGACCGCTGCGCGCATGCGTCACCCTCCTCTGAGATGGCAAAAGCGACTTTTGGTCTGCCCCCTGGGCCAAATCAGCTCAAAGGCACAAGATTCTTCTTTCTCACCATCCGCGTGGACTGACGTGACGTTGGCGTGTCCGCAGATGCTGGCCAACGCTGCGCTCCAGAAGAACGTCTCAAAAATCAGCGAGCTGCTCGCCAAGGGCGCCGATCCGGACACTGTGGACGCCTCCCTCCAGGAGGGCACCATCCTGCACTTCGCCGCGTACTTCGGCCACCTGGAAATCGCCAAGGTCATGATCGCCGGCGGCGCGGACCCCGACAGCATCATCAAGTACGACGGCACCACGCCCCTCATACTGGCAGCGGACGGAAACAACCCGGAAGTGGCTTCCGAGCTGCTGGCCGCCGGGGCGGACGTGAACAAGGCGGACCTCGAGGGGATAACGCCCCTGTACGTGGCCGCCCAAAAGGGGCGGCTGAAAATGGTGCGGCTGCTTCTGGCCGAAGGTGCAGATACGGAGCTCAGCGACATCGACGGCTTCTCGCCCCTGATGATAGCTTCGCTCAAGGGAAACGTTCCGGTGGTTAAGGCACTGCTTGACGCGGGGGCGGACCCCAACCACAAGGACAAGAGCTCGGCGACGGCCGCGCACATTGCCGCGGGCAACAGGCCCGGCCAGGCCAGCGAGGAGATCATGGAGCTGCTGATCGAGGCAGGTGCGGACGTCAACGCCTTGGCGATGGAAGAGGACGGGTCCACGACCACGCCGCTGGCCTATGCGGCCGTATATGGAAATGTGGGGACCGCCAGGGTGCTGCTGGAGCGCGGCGCGGACGCGGGTCTCAAGCTGAGTGACGGCAGGACGGCCAGGGATTTGGTGTGCTTATGCGACAAGAAGCCGAAAGCGACTGGAAAGTGCCCGAAGGGCGGGTGTGACGAGCCGGAAACCGTGAAGGAATTCAAAGCTTTGCTGAATGGGCGGATGTAAGTCAACCAGCTTGACCGCACCGCGGGTGTGCTACGTGGCAGCGGTGATCTGGCGAGGGCACCGCAAGGCGGTGGCGGGAGAGCGGGCAGCGCAAGGCAGTGTCGGCGCGCCGCGGGGTTCTAGCGTCCCAAAATTCAGGGACGGCTCCTGCTGGGAGTGGCTATTAGATGGGGTTAGAGAGAGTTGACGGGACGGAGGTTGCCTGCCACTGCGCTGCGGTGTGTCTGCCAGTTGATGTCCCGGCACAATCAGATATGATATGGTTTCATTTGCCGGCGCCTGAGCTGAATATGGCGGATCCGCAGGAGTGGGAGTTAGTGCAAGGTGGTGTGAAGACACAGGGCTAGAAATTGTTTACGCGATTATTCATGGCTGGGGCTTGGTTCAGGCCTTGCATGGCAAAACTGTAGCGCCAGTGGAGAAGTGGCCTTATTGCACGGGAGAGTCATTTGTGCGAGAGGCTGTATGTTGATGGACCCTATGTGTACATTACAGGCCGTTGCATCACGCCATTAAAGGAGCAAGGCATGATCGTTACATTTGAGGCGTCGAATGGCCGATCTTCGCCTGAATAATTGGACATAGCATTGCGCGGGACTAGAGCTGCGCCTTTGTTGTGCGAGCTGAGCGCATTTTGCTCGGTCGAGCGCCAGCGCCTTCTGTTCCTTAGCAAGTTGAAGACGCCGCAGAGCGAGTGGCTATGCTGTGTATACGGTCGTGAAGCGGTTTTAGATGTGCCGAACGCATTGGCGTTGTAGGAAAACGAGGCGAAGCCGTTGGGATCCCATTAACTTCTGCAACACTCCTCAAATGCACTGCATTTGGCATTTCATTGCATTAGCGAAGGCTGCAGACTCGTCAACGCCACGGCCACATCCTCTTCGCCCATGGCAAGGGGATCCCCTTCCCTCCCACTCTCCCTGAAGAGTGTTCCCTCTTCTCTCCGCATCCAAGACCTTTCTCAACCTCGACTTTCAACTTTAGAGTAATACTAGTACGATTTCAGCAGTCGGTGCAATCCCCATGC